AGTCAGTCAGTCAGTCAGTCAGTCAGTCAGTCAGTCAGTCAGTCAGTCAGTCAGTCAGTCAGTCAGTCAGTCAGTCAGTCAATCAATCAATCAATCAATCAATATAATTGATAAAGCGCTATTTCCACGATGTTCAACAGCGCTCCTCAATAAATTTGGCAAATATATGGGTTTTGAGATTCGCTCTGAATTTTATAGGTGATGGAGAAGTAGTCAGAGAAGGAGGTAGAGAGTTCCTGAGGAAAGGGCCAAAAAAAGCATATGCAGATTTAGCAAAAGAGTGTTTAACACGAGTCAAAAAAAAGTGAGAACAAAAGACGATCGTAAGGAGGCGCGTTTAGGTTCAATTATTTTATCTGATAAGTACTTAGGAAATAATTTAGATTGAGACTCATACATAAATGTGCAAATTTTAAAAATTATTCTATATTTTATAGGTAACCAGTGCAAGAGAACAGGATATGGAAATATATGAGAAATGAAAGTGGCGCGAGCAACTAGACGAGCAGCTGAGTTAAAAGCTTTACTTAAAGGATAGAGTGTAGAATCAGGAAGACCATAGAAGAACGAGTTACAATAATCAATCCTAGATAAGACTAAGGAAGTAACACGAAGGAGAAGAGTAGGATCGTCAAGAAAAAGCAAAAGTCTTTTTTATTCTACTCAGATGAAAGAAAGAACTTCTAGCAACACTATTAATCTGAGAAGAAAAAGACATGCTAAAATCAAAGATTAAGCCTAGTCTACGAAACTTGTGAGAAACATCAAGAGTTTTAGAACCAGGTAACATAATAGGAGGAATAGTAGTCAAGTATTTAGATTTATTAAAACAAATTAATTCAAATTTAGGAGGATTAAGTTTAAGACACATTATGTCAGACCAAGCTATAATTGAAGAAACACATAGAGATAGATTGTGAAGCACACTAGTGAGATAAGATGAAGGAAAAGAAGTAGAAATATAAATACAATAAAAATTTACTAATTGTAAAATTTTTTGAAGGGAAACTAAAGAATGACACCAGACCTTAAAGTACACTGAAAATACGATCCGGTCAAGCACGACGAGCCCAAATCAGTTTGCATATACGTATACCAGAAAAAAAGATACCAAATACGCATAAAAATTATGCAGATGCATGAAATAAATCAATAACAAAATAATTAAAATGGATAAAATGGATAAAATTATTAATGAATGAATAAATATTATAATTAATAAACTATAAAAATGTAAAAATTGTAAAATTTGATAAATTTAATGAATAATGGTTCATGGAAACTAGAGTGAAACCAGACTAAAACTGCGCGTGGGTTGGGTACGTCGAGGGCCAGTATAGGTATACTAAGTATATGATATACATAATATATAAAAAATATGATATACCTAGATTATATACTTATAATACGATTTGACCACGATAAATTTTATTTTCTATATATAATTAAAATGAAATATTCTTTCATAAGCTATAATATTGTTATAAACGTGCTACCGAACGCACTAAGTTCTAGCGTATTCTAGAATGTTCTAGTGACTGGAGCATTCTAGAGTATGCTAGAATCGGACCATCTAGAAGAATCTAGAAACGACGCTTGCGAAGAGTATATAAGCGCACGTCGCAAGGTGATTAGTGATATTCGTGATTAGTGAAATTCTTGATTTTGTGAATAGCGATTCGGTGAGTTATTTAAAGCGATATTTGATTTGTTTGTTGACGTTGTCATAGCGATCGATTTTGAACGATTTAAAAGTTAATTGTTGCGTTAGTTTGAATTTACTGGAAATAAACGATTAGTTGATTTCTTCTGTAAATAAAGTTTAATAACTATTAATAGTTGATTTCTTCTGTAAATAAAGTTTAATAACTGTTTGGAATATTTTATTCAATCGAGGATTTGAACCCGTCGCATCGTAAATCGGTTACGACAGCGAGTATTATAACATTGGTGTCAGAAGTGGGATCTTCGACCAGCGAATTACTACTCGTAGAAAAAGAACACGATGTCAAAACTGTGTGGGTTGAACGTAGTTCAACTACGAGAAGAACTACAGAAACGAAGCCTTGTCACAAGTGGCAACAAAGAAGTACTAGTAGCACGTCTGAGAGAAGCTCTCATTGACGAAGGTAAGAACCCAGACGAATTCAAGTTTGATGGTGCTGACGAAGACAATGAAATTAGCACAGGCACGTTTACAACCGCTAAAATGATGGAACTTCTGCTTAGTATGTCAACTGAAATAAAACAGATCAAAGAACAGTCCGAACGACAGTCCGAACGACAGACAGAAGAGTTAAAACAACAGATCAAGGAACAGTCCGAACGACAGACAGAGGATTTAAAACAGATCAAAGAACAGTCCGAACGACAGTACGAACGACAGACAGAGGAGTTAAAACAGATCAAAGAACAGTCCGAACGACAGTCCGAACGACAGACAGAGGAGTTAAAACAGATCAAAGAACAGTCCGAACGACAGTCCGAACGACAGACAGAAGAGTTAAAACAGATCAAGGACCAGCTAAAACACGTAAAATTGGATGTGGCAGAACAGATTGAAGAACAGTCAACAAGAATAGAAATGATCGAACAGAAACTTGATCGTCAGACCGTTGAGGTAGATCACAAGATAGACAAATTGAAGCGAGAATTGGAGCAATCTAAAAAAAATGGCCATGCCGTTAGATCACGCATCCGGAAGAACTTTGAAGGTACCAGCATTTGACGGAGAGATGTCCTGGAACGTTTATAAAACCCAGTTCAAAGCAGCGGCAACTAGTAACTGTTGGAACGGAAAAGAACGAGCAACAGCACTGATACTGGCCCTGCGAGGTTCAGCAGCAGAGGTTCTTCAAACGATTCCGGCGGAGAACCACTTCAACTATGAAGTTCTGGTTAGCGCGTTGGATTTACGTTATGGTGAAGAACACATGAAACAGATTTATCGGTCTCAGCTTAGAAACAGAACGCAACGATCTGGTGAATCCATTCAGCAGCTGGCACAAGATATCGAACGGTTGACATTGCTGTCGTATCCGACATCAGACCCCGAACATAGAGACGAAACTGCCCTGGATACGTTTATCAAAGCCCTTCGTGATTCGGAACTCAAGCAATCCCTTCTCTTGTCAGATAAACGAAAACTCAAGGATGCCGTTGCGCACAGTCTCACTTTTGAATCGGCAAAGCAAGCATCAAAAAGTGACGTACGTCTACGCCAAGTACATGAAGAATGCTCTTGCCAGAAGGTGGTTGTGAAACGCGAACCCCAACAGCATGGTGTACCCCAATGCTGGATTTGTGGTGAAAAAGGCCATCTACGTCGTGATTGTAAACACCGCCTAAAAGATAACTACTGCCGAAATTGCACGACAAGATGGCGCAAAAGAAGAGAAGATAATCCCGTATCACGATCGGCCCCTTCTAACGAAGGGGTGGAAAACTAATAAGAGCCAACTTTGTGGGGCAGAGGTTGGCTAGTAGAATTGACGCCCCCAGTACCGTAATTAACGTTTCCAGACTACATCGAAATCGAAACGACCTATGGCTGAACGGAAAAGTTGATCAACGAGAATGTGTGATTACAGTCGACACCGGAGCAACAAAATCGATTTTAAGATCTGATTTGGTACCCAATCTGAAGAAAGAGACTTCTAACAAATACATCCTTCGAACAGCTACCGGAGGAACAGCACCAGTCTATGGAAAGATTCTCCGTACTGTCCAGCTAGGCGACTTGTTATTCGAAGGTTCATTCTTAGTCGCGGACATCATCGACGAATGCATAATAGGTGTCGACTTTCTGACAAAATATGGGTTCAAAATTGACTTAGAAAAACGCATTCTTAGATGGAGAAATACAGAAGTGATAATGGGGGATAGCGACGAAAAATGCATTCGAGTGACAGTGGATTGTGACATAGAACTACCTCAATCATCTGAAAACATCGT